CTGTTGGGGGGGTCTGGCTCACAAACACACTAAAATTTCTTTGTCACTCAGTGGAGATGTAACACAGGGGGATTTAAGAGCCTAGCAACGTACCAAATCCAAACAGTGTTATTCCTTCTCAGGATACTAAGATGGCAAAAACATTCAGCTGACCCGAGCTGGAAAACAAGGAAAAAAGTCATGATGTTGTAAAGGACCTTGTCATTGTCCCATTTGCACAGCTTTTCACACCAAACCCACGGTGTGGTGGGGCCGTGTCTCACCCAGCACCAACCAGAGAAGCCCTTTGGTGCACACACCAAGTTCTGCTGCAATTCAGTGGTAGGAATAAATGCAACAAAATCCAAATTACAGACACGTGTTACAGGTTGCAATGAGTTTTGACCTGTCGCTATGGTGCAGTTGTATAGTTGTTTTAGGTGCCTATATGTCTGATAGGTATATACAGGTTTTATTAAGGCTTGCTTTCCAGGCTTTCCATGCACTCACACACCTGCACAGTTGCCTTTGGGGTTTCAGCAGCTCTTCCAAAGCTCATGGCCACAAACATGGCAACTGAAGCCAAGCACGGAAATGAGTAGCCAGGGGAAAGTTAATGCCAGTTCCCTGGCAGTGGCTGTATCCACTGTTTGAAAGCGTGTTACAACAATATTTGGATTTGTTAATATTAATCTTGCTAATGATTAGCCTATCCTGCCGTGGTTTTCTATGATATACTTCTCTGAAATCCCTGTCGCATTGTACACAAACCCACCAGCAAACTACAAACAGCCCGAGAGCCCAGAGCCACCCCCGCCTGGCAGAGCCTCCTGGCCAAGGCAGCACCACAGCTCATGCTGGTGACACTGGGGTCCAGAGGCTGGGTCATGGCTGGAAAGCTCCTGCACCACCGTGCAAACTCCCCTCTCCTGAGTTTGGCTGCAATGCTGGGTTTGTGCTCTAAAGCCTCCCAAACCTGTTAGGGCAGGACAGGGACGAGAAGGAAGCTGGCAGTTTGAACAAGGCAAAATGAAAGTAAATACAAAAAAAAAAAAAAACACCTCAATTTCTAGCTAAAACAAAGCCAAACCTAGAAAAAGGAGTAGAGCCCCAGCCCACAAGCCTCCCAAACCTGTTAGGGCAGGACAGGGACGAGAAGGAAGCTGGCAGTTTGAACAAGGCAAATTGAAAGTAAATACAAAAAAAAAACCCCTCAATTTCTAGCTAAAACAAAACCAAACCTAGAAAAAGGAGTAGAGCACCAGCCCACAGCTGGTGGTCACCCAGAGAGGACCACTGTCACAGCAGGGACTGGCAAACACCAGACCCACGGGGTCGTGCAGCCAAAAACTCTCCCCACGGCTGCTCTGCAAGCCCTGCCCAGTGAGGGCAGAGGGAGAGCCCCTGAGTGGTGTCAATCCTGCTCCCCTCTGCCAGAGTGTTGTGAACTAACTTGCAGACAGCTTCTCACTTGGTTTTTAATGCATCAATTTGGAGACAGAAGCTTCTTTGCCTGCACAGACACGTGGCACAAACCCAGGTGGGTCCAGGTCTCCCTCAGCCTGTCAGCTTCCACAGTCCCTCCTGCCTGGCAGCTCTGGGGGGGCAAAGTGGGCTGCAGGCACAAACCAGGTCCCAGCAACCTGTCCTGCTGCAGTGTGGCAGGACCAGGTTCTCCCTCCAGGAGAGGTTTCTGGTGCCCATCAGTCTGTGGGGACAAGGTGGTCTCATGTGCTTAGTCCTTCCTGCTCTGAGAGAGATCAGAAATCCAGCAGAGGCACCCGGGCACACAGGTCAGTGCCAGGAGATGTGGACATGAGCAGAGGGGAACCCAATGTGGCCACTGAGTCCTAAACAGTCACATCATGTAGACCCCAGGGAAAACAACTGGAGGATCATCAGTCATCTGGAGGATCATCAGTCATCTGCAGTCAGTGCCACTGTTCCCATAGGGGGTGACCAAACGCAGCTTCTGCTGGAAGGTTTTGGGAGCACGGCACAAGCCTCGTGCTTCGTGCCAACCACTAAACCCCCCCACAGAACTTAGGGAAGCCCCTCAGGACCAGACATGGCATCACGGCTAGGACAGACTTTTACACCTTCCTCTGAAGCAGCTGGTGCTGCTGGATCCAGAGGGCACAGACTGATACTGTGCACCTGTAAATGAAGCCCAAAATGAATCCTTGCCTCCACTGCTCCAGGGAAGACTTCACCAGTGCAGTAACAAAGGAGCACGATCCCCCCCTCTCTCTGCTCCTGAAAAGCTAGGACAGACTGGTGAGAAGCTGGAGCTGAGTGGCAGGAGGAGCAAAGGCTGGGCACAGGCTCTTCACCGTGCCCAGCACTGGTTCTTCTGCAGGTGCTGTCCCCAGGCACACAGCAGGATGAGAGCTCTGAAGACCTATCAGCACACTTGCCATCAGCTTGCTTCCCAGCTGCTCTGGAGATACCATGCATGGCATTTCTCTCTGCTTTCAAACCTCTTGACCCTTCTACAGCCCCCTGCAAACCTCTGCCATCCCTTCTCCCCTCTCCTTTTCACTCCCCTTCTAGCTGCAGGAATACAAACCACTTGCACAGCCACTTACTTGCATTCCCTTTCACTGGACCTCAGCAGCCTTCCCCTGGAGCTCTGAGGTTCAGACCTTGTGCTCTGTCCAGAGACAGTAAATCCAGCAGCAAACGTTCTTTGAAAGCAAGCAGGAACTAGAGCTCTTTTACCAACAGCTTGATGAAATTCTCCCCCAGCACCTCCAACAGCAATTGCTCCTTGCAGGGCGACCAGCAAAGCTCCTTTGCACCCTCTCTGTGGGCTGGGAAGTGTCTCTGTCCGAGTGCAGCACGCACCAGCAGCAGAGGGGGTTTCCAGCTGCCCAGCCCAGTGGATCAGCATGGAAGAGCAGCACAGATCTTTACGTAACGGGTCCCTGTGCTTGCTCAGACTTGTTCTCCACGGGAGTTTTCTCCATTCACCGAGCAGGGAACGGGTTTAACAGCAGCTGAGAAAACAGGACCGGAGGCAGCTCGGAGCTGCAGCAGGTGCAGATGTTGCTCATGTGAGCACAGAGGAACCATTGCTCTTGTGTAGGCACCAGCACACGTGTCCTGAGATAGAAAAAACCCTTCCCTGCCCTAACATGCATGTGAAGATGCTGGGGCCACCACTCTACCTGTCTGTCTGGACACAGCTACACCTTTGCTCCAAAGCAGAGGTCTGGGCAACCCTTCCCCACCTGAGAGAAGGATGTTGTCTGCAATGCTGGAGTGGCCAATGGCTTTGGGAAGGAACCAGACTAACAGAACGTTCAAATTTTGCCAAAAAGGGAAAGCTGAGCTGGGATCCTGCTTGCACTGCAGAGCAAGGGGTGGAGGGCAGCGAGGTGACCCTCAACCAGAGCAGCTTCTGCTAGCAAGGGGCAAATCTCAAGGCCCTTTTTGTGCCATATTGTTTGCTTTCTGCAGAATATGTTATGTTTGTCTTGCTGGCTACATCTGGGATATGTATGAAAGAGCATTTTTCATGCTCATTGAGTTAATTATTAGCCACGGACAAGTGGCCACTGAGCAATTAGAAGTCACAATACAAGGAAGAAAGCACAACAGAACACCTTTCATCCCCACAGGGAAATAAAAAGCCTTTTTCTTCTGCCGGGAATTACCCTTAATAAAATCCTGTCACTTGACACCCTGAAGTCACATTCCTTTGAAAGTATATAAAGACTTTCCTTGGCACCTATCATCTTCTCTAGATCTTGGAAGGGGCAGGTAGATCAACAGCCGTGCTCGGGAAACGCACATTCCCATCAGCACACCCAGCTCAGGCCAAAGAAAACAGCTCAGTGAATTCAGAGCCTTGGCTTCCTCCAAGCCATCCTCAGACCAAAACAAAGGGAAGGTCAAAAATATTCATCCTGAAGACCATGGACATGTTTCAAAAGAGAGGCAGCTTGGTTTGGCATTCCCCAGTAGTGACCACTGAACCCCAGCCAAGGGTTCCATTGGGTGCAGTAGGTTTGGGTGGATATTCAGGTGGGATAATGCTTTATTTGGTTTAAGTCTGACTGTTGGAGGGGTGGGGGGAAGGGGTAAATCCCTACATCTCACTAACTCACCAGCAGCTGAGGAAAGGAAAAAAAAGTAGAAGTGAAAATATGACCCTTTTTCTTTTGCATGTCCTTGAAGAGCCCAAGGAGACAAAGAGCAGCCACTAAACACAGGCTGCAGGCAGGAGCTCTGCTCTGTGACTGCAGCAAGGAAATTTGACATCAAGGGTGGTGAGACATTGGAACAGGTTGCCCAGAGAAGTTCTAGGTGACCCATGGGTGGAAGTATCCACAGTCATGTTGGATGTGGCTTTGAGCAACACGACCTAGCAAGAGATGTCCCTGCCTATTGCAGGGGGGTTGGACCAGATGGTCTTCAGCTGTCCTTTCCAAACCAAACCTTCCTGTGATTCCATGAGAGCAAGGGCCAAGGGAGCAGCTGAGCTCTGGGTTGCCACCTGACTCTCCTGGCTGCCAGGGCTCAGCAGCTTTTGGACCGTTTTTGGACTTCAGCCTTGTGATGGGCTGTTCTGGTTTACAAATGTAAACCCAGAAACCATTTCAGATTTGGAATCCTGGCTCTTCTGGTTTGGCCCAAATCAGTTTTTATGCTGTACTCACCAGCACTGCCTGCCCAAGGGACACTGCTCTGATGGACACACTGGTGGCTGGCAGGCATTGCATGAACTGAGTTTGCCATGAGAACAGCTCCCCTCGTTTTGCAGAAGGGAAGATTGGGGGGTTGGGATGAGACCCCCATGCTATGATGCAGCAACAGAGGCAAGAACAGGGTTACCAGCTCCCTCTTTCACATTGAATTGCTTGACAGAAGTGATTAAATGCTGTATTTCTCTTTAGCTCCACAACCCCTGTATCCTCCGGGCAATGAGAATTATTAGATGACCAATTATCAGTTAACCATTTTGCAAGCATGATTATTCACCAACTCCTGTGCCTTTTCCAGGGAATGCAAGAAAAATGGCTTTACTAGTGTTCATCTTCCTGCTTGCCCTCCTCCCAGATGAATCTGCAAGCATCAGAAACCCCCCCAAGACAGCAAGTAAGTGGAACCTGGCTGGGGCACAGGGCTCCTGGGTGGCCTGAGAGCAGAACTGGCATCACCAAAGGGGAAAGAGGGTTCAGGGAGCATCTCTGCCCCATCATTGCCACGGGACCTCTCATGGCAAGGACCTGTGATGCTGCACAGCCCCGTGCCTGTGGCTGCCCCATTACACCCAGCCTGCTCTGCAGCCCCACCACGCTGTGTGGCACAGGTAGCACTGACAGCCAACACGTTTTCCTCCTGCAGTCTCAAGCCCTGTGTTTGGACCACGGCAGGTCTACGGGCTGATCAACGGCTCCGTTGCTGTGAAATGCTTCTACCCTCCCACCAGTGTCAACAGGCACGACAGGAAGTATTGGTGCAAGGAAACATCCATGGGCTGCATGACCATGATCTCCACCAGCAGCTACACTGCTCCAAGCTACCGAGGCAGAGCCTCCATCATTGACAACCCAGGGGAAGAAAACTTCCAAATTAACCTCTCCAAGCTTACAAAGGAAGACACAGGCACCTACCAGTGTGGTATTGGTATCAATGGCAGAGGGCTCTCCCACCAAGTCAATCTGGAAGTTTCTAAAGGTAATTACAGTCTTGGGACTCCTTAAGGTATTATTTTCTTTTAATTCTCTCCCCTACACCTCTTTTAATAAGGCTCCACAAAGAGTCTGCCCAGTGTCTAAAAGCTCCAGATGCTCCCTGCTGTCAGGAAACAGCTGTTCTCATTTCCCCCTGTGCTCTTACAGAATGAGTCTTTTAAACCAAAAATCTGCACAAAAATCAGATTAAACCAACCTCATCTTAAACTCACAAACATTGCTTAGAAACCACCGACCTCTCTCAGCCACTGAAGCTTGGGGAGATGCAGAACTGCCCATCACTCTGATGTACCCTCCAGCCCGTGGCTGAGGCTGTGTGAGCCATGTCCAGGGGAGCACAGGGTGATCTGGGCAAGGCCCAGGGTGCAGAGCACGGGGAAAACTCATGGCACAGTCCCCAGCAAGAAGGCTCTGGGAGGAACCCCACTATAGAGCAGGCAGTGATAGAGCATAGAGACCTCAGTCCTGAAAGGTGTGACAGGCATGGGACACAGCTGGGGAGGTCGTGCTCTGACCAGGGCTGGCATGTGGTCATATAATGTAGCAAAATAAAGAGGAACCCTGGGCTGGAAAAAACCCTTCCGAGGTGTCGGGGAGCTGCCCAGAGTGAGGACAGCAGGCAGCAGACACTGACTGTCTCTATGCACAGGTCCACACGTGCCTGAGGGAGCTGAGCTCTTCTACGTGGAGCTACATAGCACCCTGACCATGTCCTGCAGCTTCGGGGCAGGTACTGTGACCATGAGGAAGTTCTTGTGCAAGGTGGGGAGGATGGGCTGCACCAACATCATCGACAGCCACGGGAACATCGACGAGGATTACACGGGGCGAGCTCTGCTGAGCAACGAGGAGACCCCGGGCTCCTTCAGCGTGGTGATAACCCAGATGGGCTGGGAGGACTCTGGCTTGTACATCTGTGGGGTCGGCTTCTACGGGGAGAACGGAGAAACCAAGGAACTGGACGTGCACGTCTACGAGCGTAAGCTGCCCCCAGTGTTCCCAGCACCACTGGCTGGCTCTGTTTAACAAGAGCTTTCATTTCCCTTTGCAGAGGGCTATTAGCCTGTCCTCGCACCTAGATACTTCTCCCTATTCATTTAGCTCCCTGTAATGCACTGAACTATCCCTAACAAAGCTTCTATCAAGACTTAACCTTCCCAGCAGTGGCTGGCTAACTTCCCCAGTCTGGCCAGCCCAAAACTCCACAAGGCAAACTCTGCCTGCCAACTAGAGACAAGTAAACTGCCTCCTCAAGTCTTAATTCCTTAAATCTGGAGGCGACAGATGTAGAGAGGAGGTGACCTGCCCTTGCCCTAGCAAAGGGAGAAAAACACAGAAAATCAGCACACAAAGACAACCACCACCTGGTGGATTTAGGGAAAAAAGGCCCATTTGGGTCAATTCTTAGCAGTGCCAGGACACTCCCCTACAGTCTGCACCCCTGAGCTTTGCCTAGCCTTGTTTTAGCCAAAACAGCTTTGTTTGGTCTGATAATATTTATTCTCTTGGGACAGTGCCATGCGGGCAAGAGTTAGCCACGTGTAGCCACTCATTTCATTTTTATACCTCCAGAGACTAAAGTTCCTCAAGGAAAGCCCACAATAATTGGAGTAAAAGGAAGTTCAGCAACCTTTGAGTGCCACTATAGCCCTGTGAAAACGTCCTCCCTGAAGTACTGGTGCAAGTGGAGGAACACGGGCTGTGCCCGGATCATCGACAGCGACGGGTTCGTGTCGCCGTTGTACGAGGGAAGAGTGGCCATGCAGGACAGCCCGGGCAACAGGACCTTCATTGTCATCCTCAGCCAGCTGAAGGACAGTGACAAAGGCTACTACTGGTGCATGTCAGATGAGGAGAAGGAGCAGCAATCCTCAACCGAGCTGAAGATCATTGATGGTAGGAGCGTGTGTGTTGCCAGCTCTGTCTGCTCAGTAGGTACCAACCAACCTTCTAAGTGCTGCAAGGAGCAGATCTGGCTTTTGGGGAAGAAATCTGAGATAACAGTTCAGAGCTGGACCTCACAAGACAAAATGTTGTGACAATCCCCCACCCCATTAAAGGTCCAGCTCTGAACTGTTATCTCAGAAGACAAAATGTTGTGGCAATCCCCCACCCCATTAGCTTTGAAATGGAAACAGAAGGTTTCTGTTTTATGGGGAAATGTTCACACAAGTTTTTCATGCAAGTATTTCTTCATCCTTGCAACCCCATCCCCTGTCACCCAGAGATGCATGTACAGCATCCTTAGCATTAATCCAGTGATTCCCCACAAAGATACATCCCCTGGTTCACCATACCCAGCAGCATCCTGCCTACCATGCCCTCCCCTGAAACCACTAATACAGCCTTCACCTTCCATCTGCCTTGCAGGAGAACCTGGGTTGAAGGGCAAGACAGACGTGGAGGCACAAGTGGGTTCACGGGTGGATTTAACTTGCTCGTACCCATGCAAGTACTACTCCTACCAGAAGTACTGGTGCAAGTGGAGCGACAGCCACTGCGACCCCATCCTTGCTACTGACCCAAAGCAGCCGAAGCCAGATGTTACCTGTGACACTGCCAACAAGACAGTGACCCTGACCTTGGACCCCGTGACGAAGGCAGACCAGGGCTGGTACTGGTGTGGGGTGAAGCGCAATGGGGTCTTTGGGGAAACCATGGCAGTGTACCTGACTGTGACTGAAGGTGAGCTCCAAGGCACAGGCTGGGACGGGCTTTCCTGCTTGCCAGGGCTGTGAACCAGGCTGGTTCTGCTGAGAGAAAAGCCCTCTCCACAGCCACTAGGCTGCAGCACCTCAAAACAGAAGCACTCTCAGCCAGGCAGCCTCCCAGACTCGGTGCCAAGGTCACCCTGATTTTGTGCGACTCCTCAGAGATGTTTTCCTCCACTCAGTAGTTTTTTTGCTATTTTTACTTTTTAACCCTGCCCTTACTAATTATTTCTATTACAGTTTAATACATCATTTAGCTTAAGGACCATCCGACACCTGTCAGGTGAAGAACTGCATGTAGTTCAGAGACTCCTCTTGCTCCAGGGAGCTTATTATCTTAACAAACAGCAAAACAGAGCAGATGGAAAGGCCAGCACCAACAGCAAGAGGCTTAGTCTTAGCTTTGGTGCAGGATTTGGGGATAAAGAGGTTTTTCTCAGGGAGGAATATTGTTAGAAGCAGAGGAAAAGCATAGCACTAGATATCCCACATGCACCAGCCTAAGCTGATGATGGTTGAAGTGGAAACAGCCTCATTTCATTGCTTTGGTGGGCCAAGAGCTGGAAGTAAACATGAAGAATTTGTTCTAGAAATACTACAGGAAGAAGCTAAAAATGCAAGACTTTTTCAAAACCATATAGGCAGAGAGAGCCTAGTTGAGATTTTTTTTGCATTAAATCATTCAGAATGAGATTATTTCAGCCCATTTTGAAGAGCTTCTCATGTCCAATCAGAACCTGCTGCAGTTCCACAGGCACCAAATATGCCCAGTCAGATTTTGTGCCCCCATCTAGGTGCTGCTGCTCACACAACTAACTACCCTTCTTCCCTGGGAGGTACAGGGAGGAGTGATGACCACAGCCTGGAGCTCCCCAGTGTTGACAGCCCCAGCCACGCCGAGCCAGGCTTTATTCCCCAAGGAAGAGCCTCCAGCAATGCTGGGGTGCAGGGTGCAGCTGGCTCTGAAAGGTTAGTTCCACTTGGTTCCCTCCAAGTCTCTATCTTTTCTCATTTTTGTGAGGTTTATATTAACCCCTGCTCAGCAGCTGTGTGTGTGATTTAACAACCACCAAAAATTCACATTCCACAAAAAAAACCCACAAAACATCCCAGGAAAAGAGGAAAAAGCTACAGCTAAAGGCAAGGTGACTTGAAATTAATCTCTAGCTCAAGAAAATAGTCCCAGAATGGAATGATTAGAGATGTCAGGCACAGAAAAACTCATTGAAAATACTTCTGTCGAGACTGCAGAGCTTTCCTTCGCACGTTTCTAACCTAGCTACTGGTGTAGCTGTTCTGGTACAACCTCTGCCCTACATTTTTATTTGGGTTTTATTATATATACTAGGCTCTAGTTTGTTAATTGAGTTGCACCATGTTCACTCAGATTTACCATCCTGTACAGATTTTAGACATTCATAGACATTATTCAGTCTTGAATCCTTAAAAAAAAAAAACCAACCAAAGCATTTCACAGCTGAGTGCTGACACCTTTCCCTCCATCCCAGCTCTGACCCAAGCCATGGCCCCAGTGGACTTGTCTTAGGCCTGAGCATCTCTGGTGCTGTGCTCCTGATCCTCGTGACAGCGTTTGCTGTGTTCAAGTACAGGCAGCTGAAGACATCTGGTGAGTCTCTGCTTTTGCTAATCTCTCAAGAAACCTCAGCAGAACTAAACCAAAGGAGATACCTTGAGCTTGCCACACTCTTTGCTGGGCTGAGCTGCTCCCCTGGTGCCCAACCATGTGTTGTGCAGACAAGGGACCCTGTTTCTCCCTCTGACCCCATCCATTTGGCCCCAAAACCCAGCGTGCCCAGGCTGAGACAGAGACCAGCCCCCCGTGGGCTTGGCAGGTGGCGTGGCACCGTGTCTCCTCGCACAGAGGTGCTTTGGATTCCACACCCCAACGCTGAGCGAGCACGCAGGGCATTTATTGTCTCCTCCCTCTGAACAGACCTGGTGTCCGTGGGGAGCTACAGGACCAACATCAGCATGTCAGACTTTGAAAGCGTGAAGGGATACGGCGCCAGCAACAACGCCTGCGCGAAGGAGAGCGAGGAGACCCAGATGGGAGGGGACGGTAGGCTGGCAGCTCGGGGGGAGGGGGGCCAGGAGGGGACCC